GCTGAGCTTTTTTTGTAGTTGTTGCTCTAGCTTTTTTTTGTGTGAATCCTATGTTGTTGTTGCGGTGGTGGTGGTGTTGGCTCGGTAAAATATTGAAACATAATCGAAAAATATAGAACCCAGCCAGACCAGAGAGCATATATCCAATACATACGTACTGGGGGTACAGTAGAAATCCGAAAAATGGGCCAATGAAATGGGACTTGCAAGACTTTTCTATATCCAAATCCCGAAATATTTAATGAAAATCTTTTACAAGGTTAAATCTCACTTTTATTCGTTCGATTTGTAAGAATACCGTTCTTATGTTCAACATTTATGTTTGCCCTCTCGTAAAAAAACACCTCAAGTTCAAACACTTAGTACAAAAAACTTGTCATAGTTCTTCTCTTTCTAAACAGAAACTATTACAACGATGTCATCTTATTTGGACTTAGTAAAACTGAAAGAAGGCATGTAAATATCCAAAATGTATTGTATTGATCCTAACTATTAGTTTTAATTCGCTTTGACCCTTTTTTTAACATGCGACTAACTGAGAGATCTTACTCTATTTTATCTATTGACTGGATTGAATTTATTCGATTCGATTTTAGCTTGAAGGACTATCAATGAGTGGTTCTGAATCGATCATTTTCTAACTAAGTGTTTTTGATTGTTGTTGGAGTTTGGAGGTAATGTTATTATGCTTGGGGATTTTGGGTGTATAGTTTAAGATTTATATTTTCTTGAGTGATTTGAGTTGGGAAGGATCTGAATTTAAGTATTTTATAAACATCAAAGATGGCTTTTCGAATAGTAGTTACTGATCTATACTAGAATCCATAGAATAAGGTTGGGATTGGGAGGTAATACATAGAATATTATCCAAAGGTTCTGGAGCTTAAAAAGGTGGAACGGTGGTTCCCAGGGGTCAGGGATGGGTGGCGTTCCCTCCGCCGTCTGCCCTCTCACTCACCTTCTTCTGTTGCTTCTCCCACGCAGGGTCGAGCAGGCCCTCGCGCTCCCACTCCTCCTCCTGCTCCATGTAGCCATCTCCATACTCCATGGAGAGTCCGTTCTCCATCATCATCTTGTGGCGCTGTCAGATGTCCCGCTCGCTCGCTATATGTCTATATCGTTCCCTGTCCCGCTGCACACTCTCTCGCTCGCTCTCGCTGGTGCTGCTGTTGTTGTTGGTGATCCAGTTGCTGCTGCTGCCGAAGGAAAACGGAGGTTGTAGGTTGCTAGTTGATGGCCGGTGGTTCTTATTGCCGCGAAGTCGATGGATCGATCGATTGGGTTTGGTTTGGTTTTGGTTTTGGTTTGATTCTCGGACTTTCTGGACAGTCTATATACATAGATCTGTGCCTGGCTGTGCGGTGCGTGTGTGCGTGTGACTGAGTGCTGACAGACTGATTGATTGATTGATTGATCGATGGCGCAAAGCTCGCCCCGATCCTGAAAGCTTCCCTAAGTAGAGACCAGACCAGCAGAGCAACAGCAACCTGCCACAACAGGTGGTTGCCGCTCTACCCGCTAACCTCTTAACCGATTCCCGCTAATATTCCGAGTTGAAAAATAAAAAAAAGAATCACGAATTTGTACTGGCAAAATCGTTGTATAACACGTTAATTTGCTGCTTAATTATTTTTGCGTTTGCTTTGCTCGTTCTTTTGTGTGTTTTCCGCGCTCGTTCCGTTTCGTATCGTATCGTATCGGTTAAAAATAGTATGTTTTGAAAAAGTTTTATTTTCGGCGTCAACGTCAACGCAGCGAAGGGAAGTAGGCGAGGCCGGGGGCGGAGAAGGACGGTTCGGGATTGGTACATATTTGAAATAATTTTAAGAAATAGCGCGGATTCGGATCGGAAATCGGAACTGATCCGGTAAATATAGATCGATATACTCGCGGTGGGTTGCTTTCGTTCCTTTTTTTGTGTCTTTTTTATTGGTAGATAGCACTTTGACTCTCCATATAGATCATATGTATATATGCACATATTGTTCGGGTATATATAGAGATATATGTGGTTAGGCATATATAACCATCGCACGCACACACACACACCTTACACCTCACACACATGCACAGTTTTCGTTACTTTTTTTTTTGCTTCGCTCATTTTTTTTTTTGAATTTTTGTATTTATATTTATTTTTCAACGAGTACCAAAAAAAAAACCCAAAAAAAAAGAAAATAGAGTATAACGAAAGCAAGTGAGTCGGTTAGCCAGATATATATACACATATATATATCTATATCTATTCGTGTGTGTGTATTGGAACCAAACAAAAACAAAAACAACAAAACAATGTGTGTGGACAGCAATTGGAGCAATATCTACGTGTGTCGCTTGCGAAGAGAAAGACCCGCTCGCGTTGATAGCCAACTCAAAACTGATGTCGCGCCAGCCAGCTGCCAACTCTGAATACCGTCGCAGTCGTCGTCGCAGTCGCAGTTGCCGCTGCTGCTGCTGCTGCCGTCGGCGCACCGCCACCACCCCCCACCTGCCCCATTGCCCCACCTGCCCCACATCGCCCACCGCACCACAGCAGCCGAAGAAGAGGACGGGGGAGGGGGAGGCGGAGGAGGTGGGGGAAAAGTCTGCCGTGCAGCGGGAGCATCGGATCGAATCGGATCGGCTTGGATCGCTGGCCGCAGCCGAAGAGCCCCAACATCCGAAGACCCGAAAATCCGAAGACCCGCAGAGTGGAGCCGGAAGAGTGGCAGAGTGGGAGTGGGTGGCAGAAGAAAGTATGAATTCGGCCAGCATAAGCATACGAATCTCGAGACCCTTCAGTTGGACGTCAATGTGAGGGTATGCCTCTTTTGATGGCTGCTTGTTTCTTTTTCAGTTATCTATTAATTACGGTTTTTAAAAATTCCCGAAAATGTAATAAGATATAATGGTATTATTTGCGAAAGGTATAACAATCCTAAATATTACAATATTTGACCAAGGCATGATGTGGTGAGGCTATGGTTGGGCTTTCTGAGACTCACAAGCAGCTTTCACCAAATTGTCGTTCAATTTATTATTCATTTGCATTGAAATATTATTTTTTCTTATTTTATGATGATCAGATAAATAATATTTTAATTGACAAAAGGCGACCCTGTGGTCACTTCCTAATTTATATTTTTTATAAGCTAATTAATAATTTGTCATCCAATTTAGGTATATTTAGAAGTCAAGATCCCCAGAGTAATGGGTATCGCGAATTCCTCACTACCTCGTCGGCGTTCTTTCTTGTTTTTGCTCATTTGCAGCTGAGGCTGCTGCCTGCTCCCTTGTTTTTGGTTGAGCTGTGCTGAAGAGAGCTCTTTCTTGGACCCCCATTAGTGAAATTGGTAGGAAAATGCAGTTGCAGGCGACACAAGAAGAAAGTAAAAGAGGTGACGGAGGGGGCACCCTGTATGCGATATGCGAATGCGAGACGACAACAACTTGTTGGCCCCCACGTCAGTTTGTCTGCCCCGCCACCCCTCCACTGCCCCCCCCCGGTTTCGCTCCTCGTCTGTCAGCGAGTCTCCGCGGTTCAGACAGCATCCACCCATAACCCCCCTTCCTGGGTCTTCGGAAAACGCCCCCGCATAACTACGAAAATAGCAAATTGTTAATTTCGCTTCGAAAACTCTTTTCCAATACACACACGCAAATCGCAAATCGGCGAAGGAGAAGAGGTTTTTGGGGGGAGCACATGATTTTATTGGCATGCTTTCATGGTTTTTCCGTGCGAAACATTTCATTTTTCATTCCACATTTCACATTTTTCAACACGCTGCTACACATAGGTTTATTTGTGTGGGCCTTTTCTGTTGTTGGTCGGTGGAGAGAGATGATATTTATGAAATTTATTAAATATGCTCACAAGCCACAAAATCAAGGATAGCGATTAGCTAGACCAATAAAAACCTCCCACAATAAGTGTGGACACGCGGTCGTCTCTTTCCCACATTCAACCCCTCTTTTTCGCTCTGTGTGAGAGCTTTTGAAAGCTTACGGTCTTATTTTATTTGAATGGAGGATCTTAGGACACTTTCTTTTTAAAACATAGCACTTTAAGCACCAAGGATCCCCGAAAGCAGAGTATTATATCCGTCGCTTTGTCCTTATTTTAAGCTATTCTTTTAGAGTCAGATATAGAGATGAGAGGGAAAGATATATGGACAGAGATAGAACATAAATTTGCCTATTTATAGATCATAATGTGCGTCGTCAGCGAAGAGTTTTGTTCTTTTTTCGAAAACAATATCTATTCTTAGTCGCTGCTTGTGCGTTAATACCATATTTTTGTAAATACATACTAACATACATTCCCGTTGAGACATAAATTTTTATAAAAATTGACCAAATGCCATCTGAAAGGCAGCAGCATCAAGGTGAGAAGTGGGGGCCAGAAGGTGGCCCACAAACCAAAAATCATTGGGTAAGCACGGCACACAAACCCACATGTAAGTGGTACAGTGCGGATCGAAAAGAATTGGCAACCCTTTCAAGGATCACCGTATGTGTAGAACTTCCAGTTCAAATATTTAAAATATAATATGCTAAACAGGAGTATTCAAAAATACATACTGTTCCGACAATTATGAGGTAATGTTTTTATGTGGATTGATAAGTACCTAATCAACTTGGTGGAATATCACTAGACCGAAGTTCACATTTTAAATCCAATTTCACAAATCAGTTTTTAAATAGAGTGTCTATTTCCAAACAGTTTTCACTGTGAAATTTATTTATTACCTCCATCTAATTATATCACAAATATATTTGGAGGAAAGCCAAAAATTGGAGGGCCCACAGAATAAATCAATTAACTATTAATACACAGATGTGATTAGCAAACTTTGTGTTCAATGGTCACAAATGAAAGACAGTGAAATAACCAGGAACATTTTCAATTTCCAACTTTCGCCATACAGTTCCGAAACGCACCGCTAGTTTATGCAAACAAAGTCAAACATTCGTGCGGAGAATTGGGTAAATCGCAGATGCGCAGATAAAACGACAAGATCTCTTGTTATGCAGTTTATATTTTATACATAGATATATTTTGTTGGTTTTCGTCTGTGTTTTTTGTATCTCGCATGTAATTGATAACGCTTGGGTACAATTATGTTAAAAAGTAATTACAATTGATTTAGAACGGGGCCAGCACCGCAGATATGCGCCTGCCGACATATACATATTTGTATAATGAACTTGTATGTTTACATACGTCTGTAGATCATAACTATGCTATAATTTTTAACCTTTATATATTATTTTTACTCCTTTAGCTTTAGTTAAACTTTTACTTTTTACTTTGCTTGTGTGCTTCTCTTTCTTTTCGTGTTTTGTGTTCTTTTCAAGTTTTGGATTTTGTTTGTTTTTCGTTTACTGGGACATAAACGTCGAGGAGGCTAATCTTCATCTTAAGGAAAACATTTTCTATATCAATAATAATAATATTAGGTAATAAAAAAAAATAAACAATTACATACACATTTAGCGTAATATTAGAGGGGTTTTTGCAGGATATTGGGGGACAGAGAGGAGAAATGCAAACAAACGCAATCACAATGAAACATTATTCGGGCGGAGAATGGAGTCGACGTCAGAGTCCGACCCCTACTCCAGTTTCATCGCCAGGCCGGGCGGCGGCGGCGCCTCCAGCTGTTCAAGGAAGAGCTCCTCCAGCGGCCGGTCGCTGGTGATGCGGAAGAGGAACAGGTGGTCCAGACACTTTAGGCTGATCGATCGCAGCGCGGGCAGGCGCAGCAGCAGCTGCGCGAAGCGTCCATCGTCGCCGGGGTGTTCCAGGCGACAGTGCTCGTCCAGACAGGCGTACACTTTCTCCCGGCACATCTCGATTTCCGCCCGGTTCTTGATCCCGCGTATGTCCGGGTTGTACAGTATAATCGCCTTCAAGCAGGCCAGTTCGCGTCGGTCCAGATTCAGGCGCTTCATCTTCACGCTCAGCTCGGACAGGATGCGATCGAATATGGCCGACACTCCGGCTTTGATCGCACTGTTGCGATGGTAAGAGAAGCTCTGGTTGAGGAACAGCTGCTGCGGCTGCAGTCCCGGTGACCTCCGCTCAAAGGAGCCGTCGTGTCCGAGGCCACCGCCCCCGCCGCCTCCCGAACCGCCGTCATCCAGGGACCCGATGCTGCACCAGGCCACGTTCGCGATGAGCAGCTCGATCCAGGCGGCCTTCAGCAGGATTACCTGGTCGTCCAGCGGCACCTGGGCAAAGTGCGGCATCATGCGCGCGTATTCGACCATCTGGAAGAGCTGCTTGTTGACCACCTGGCACAGGGCGGACACGGCGCCCTTGTAGTCCGGCTGGACTGTGGAATAGGGGCCGACGCGCAGGTAGGTCAACGCCTGATCGCCGCTCTGGGCCTCCGCCCGCTGCTCGGCCTCCAGGATGCGCTCGATCGAGAAGTCCCTGGACACGCTGTTGGTCATGAAGTCGTCGGAGCCGTTGCCGCTTCCCAATCCACCGGATCCAACGCCCAGACCGCCAGAGCTGGAGCCTCCACCGACAGAGCTGGAGCCGACCGAACCCGGACCACTGGCGCTCAGCCTGCCCGCCGCATTGCGAGCTCCGCGCTGACGCTCCTCCTGCACCGCCTCCCGTTTCATGCCGCAGGTGAGGCACTTCTGGTAGCGGCAGTACTGGCACCGGTTCCTCTGCCGCTTGTCGATGATGCAGTTGCGGTTCTCGCGGCACGCATATGTGAGATCCTTGCGCACCGTGCGCTTAAAGAAGCCCTTGCAGCCTTCGCAGCTGTATACGCCGTAATGCTTGCCGCTGGCCCGATCTCCGCAGATGGAGCAGAGGTGCTTGCTGCCGCTCAGCGGATGGTTCGGCGGATACTGCTGCTGGACGGCTGCGGCAGCTGCTGCGGCCGAGTTGGGCGCCTGCGCCATCTGGGCGTCTCCGCCGCTGTTGTTGTTGTTGGAGCTGGCCGAGTTGGAGCCGGGCAGCACGTGGACCATGGACATGGCCTGCATGAAGGGCCCGGGACTCTCGGCCTTGGGCGAGAAGCTGCTGTTGTTGCTGTCATTCAGCTGCGAGATGTCCGGCTTGACCTCCTCCTTGATGTGGCTCAGCCGGAAGCTGGCGTCCTGGTCGCAGTTGTCCATCCTGGGGATGTGGGGCGCTCCTGCTCCTGCTCCTCCTCCAATCTCCTTCCTCCGCGTCGCGTTTCTCTTTCGCTAGTTCGCTTGCTGTGTATGTCTTCGCTCGCTTTCGCCGCTCACTGGGGGTTTCACTTTGCCAACGCCACCGTGTCCGTCCGTGCGTCCGTCCGCTTTTTCGTCCGTGGGGCCGAGTGGAGCAGCTTGCTTCGCTTGCAGTTTCGTTGCTGCTGAGGCCGTTGCTGCATTTACATAATCCCAATCCAATCCCGCTGGAGCCGCGCACTTTTCTCGCTCGCCGCCAAACAATTGCGCTTTTTACCAACAAACAAAGAATGCCAGACTTTCTGACTAATGGATTAAAACCTTTTTTCGCGTCGACATTTTTTCTCAACAAAGACAATCTCACCACGGCGGCGCAACTCACCAGGGTAGAGATGGGCCGTGAGACAGGTTGCGCACTCACGAGTCACGACTTTTGGTCGATGCAAAGCAATGAGAATATTAGCTTGAGTCAAGCTTTTTTGTGTCTTGTTGGATTTATCATTGATAATTAAGCAAATGTTGCTGTTAAAGCAACAGCAAAACCATAATAACAAAGGAATACCTTGGGCTATTACATATATTTAATAAATCCAATGAATACTATATTAGGTATCCTTAATGTAAATTAAAAATAAACAAAAATTTTGAATTTCCTGCCTCGGTTTTTTAAATATGCACTTTAATATAACTTTCTCCCAATTAAAGCGACCGGCAACTTCGTGATTGACAACTAGCGCATCTCTAACTCACCAACCAGAGAGGCTAGAGTTGTTCCCTCTCCCACACAAACTATTACCAGTGGGTGTTTGTGGCCCAATTAAAGCGCTAATGAGTATTGTTTTTATTTAATTTACAGTCGGGTAAAGCCAATCAATCAATCAATCGCGGTTAAAACCAGAGAGCGGTTCCAGCGACAGCCCTGGCACGGCCGAATGCAACGCTGCGTCTGTCTGGCTCCCCACACCACAACGCCCCACACCCACCCACACACTGCCACAGTGCAAATAATTTTGGGTCGCTGCAATTATGTGGAAATGCGAAATGGAGACGAGAATGTGCGCCAATTTCACCGCTGCCGGCGCCAACCTCGACCCAAAATTGCAGCCGACGACGCCGAGAATCGAGCGGTTTGGCCAGTGAACCGCACCGCGAGACCAAGACCAAACCAAACCCAAATTACGCGAAATGCAAATGCAAATGCAACTTACTTGCAGCCAGCGGCTTTGGATGCGTCGCAAGGTTTGTTTTGTTTGTTGTTTACTCACTCTCTATCAAGCGGCTATCAGTTATCAGTGCTCGCGGGCACACACACAGGCACGGACACGGACACACGACGCTGATTTAATTTGTTGCAATTTTTATTGTAATTGTAGCAATACAAAGAGACGCGGTAATTGGCATTCGCAGGGAGTGCGCGCAAGAAGAAGCATTGGATTTCGCGAAACAACAGCTGACAACGGCGTGCAACATTTTGGACGAACTTTTAGAAGTTCGGTCACACTCGAAAGATTCTATTTGTTCGCTATGCAAATGTGTTTCCCGATCTTTGTATAAGTTTTTTAAACAAATAGTGGCTTATGTCGCCATCCCTCGGTAATCGAGCAATCGGGGAAACCAGGAATACATGATGAGGTCTGTGGAGCAGTGTTGAGAAACACTTGTTGTGGAGGCGGGCGGAGAGATTCGAATTCAAACTGGACGCAAGGCCTAAAATGTGAAATAGCGGTCATAAAAAGCCCGCGATTCTCATCCGCTGGCATTTCGGGAAACTAAGAAGATGGATTGGGCGCACTTCAACAGCGCACACTCAACCAGATGAGACTGCGCTATTTCCGAATGCGCCAGGTCGAGGAGGATGCCCAGGACTACTTGCCGTACGTGGACAACACCGAAAGGCCGGACTGACTGGGAGCACCTTGGGTCTCCATTGGGGTCAGGAAATAGTTGAAGAGCCAGGTAAAGTGCAATCAGTATCAGTCCCTCATAGTACCACCCACTAATAGAGCACCTTTTCGACATTTTCATTGCAGCCTGGGATCGTCCCAGCTTTCACATTGGCTCTCCATGTGACCTCCGGAGAATAAGAACTGATGGATTCCATCTGCGGGGCAAGTAACCTCTTCTCCGCTTCCGATTATTGTTCTTCTGTTACTCTTTGTGTCCAAGGCAGAAATAAACCCCATACGTACGAGAAAAGGTCCTTCAACCTGAGGAAAGCCTTCTCCATCGCACTGCCCCTGGTAAGTAGTTATTCTATATTGTTTCAATTTTAAGAATAGTGTTCTTTTAATATCAGGGTTGTACCTGTATAACTGGACAACTTATATTTTTATTTATTTTACATAGCGATTTCTGTTTGTTTGTGTGCTTTTGTGGGCATCTAATCATATTCCGAGTCCGACTCACCACGGAGCTTGCAGAGTCGAGAATTACGAAGGGTTAGCGCACCGATGCGTTCGTTTAGATATTCAATCTCCTCTTGGTACACGCCCGTCTCGTATAGCAGATTTTCGTACTCCCTCATGATCCCGTAATCGCTGGTACTGCTGACGGTGCTGTTGTTGCTGCTGCTGTTGCTGTTGCTGCTGCTGCTGCTGTCGCTGTGACCTTGGCTCTGATTCCGCCCGCTTGTACCGACACCTCCCCGCGCCGATCCGCCTTGCGACGACTCCTCAAAGTCCAGATAGAGCTGAAAGTATGCGGCATTCTCGCAGCGGCAAATGGGGCAAGTTTTTGATCTGGAAAACGGATGGAGATATATGTGCGTTATATGCCAAGTGCAATTTTGATATCATTGTCATTTTCTAGAAAAAACGAACTCTCAAGGTCTGCGATAAAGTTGCAATAAAGTCCGGGGATTCCCTTAAAGAAAATAACCATAACAAATCGGTTATACCTCAAAAGCGTTCAGATAAACTTCTCCATAAGTTTAAAATTTTCCAATGGAAAAGTAATATATGTTTCGGTATAAGTCCATCCCATTTCTTTATATTAAATAAGATCACAGGCACTCAATCTTTTCTTAACCACTTGTTGCTCTTCAGTATCATATTTATGATCTGAGTTTGTTTTGTTTGTTTATCCGCTCTTCTTTCGATTAAAGATTATTGAACAAGAATCACTCACTGCTTCCGCCAGCGGCTTAGGCACTCCTCGTGGAACGCGTGTCCACAGGTACCGGCGTGTATGTTGTCTGCGGTGCGATACCGCTCCGAACAGATCGTGCAGACCACGTTGTTATAGCTCATTTCGTTCTAATTTGCACTTAATTCGATTCGATTCGATTCGATCCGATCAGCATCGATCTTTCGGCGCCGTGTTACTGCTCGCCCGGTGGCAGCGAACTGAATGCGAATGCAACTCGCTGGAACGAGCTTTCCGCTGATAAGCGTCCAGGCAGTCGCCGTTCGTCCCCCCGATTCCACCCCTCGGCAGCTCTCACTCCCGCTGAGCCAGAGCTCGAGCCAACCCACCTTTGTGTACCGCCCCATAAAAGCGGAAAATATGAGCCGCTAAATTGGGTCAGCGATGGCCTACGCCCAGCTTATATACATAGATTGGTCCCAGCCAACTCAAGTGAGATAAAAGCTCTGCTTATTAGCTCTAAATATTATCTTATATGCTTTGATGATATCCACTCCAGTCATTATTCACTGTACTTCACTCGGTATTCAATTCGCCATCCCCACCACGCTATCGTTCCCAGAATTCCGCTGATTTTAAGAATAACAATTAAACATCGGTAGTAAATTACAAGTGTTGTTTATTTATTTAAACATTTATGTTTACGTTCATATTCGATTTGCTTCTATCGTCTTTCGAATGGAGTGCTCGTGGTGGACTAACAATAGGTTCATTTACAAAGGCCTACGTTGGAAAGGAATGTTTGTGTTGGAAATAGTGAACAAGTAATCTAGGAAAAGACTCCGGTTTCAAATAGAAGTATAGTCGTATAGGGCCACGATCTGTGCGCCTTGTACGGGTATATAAGTAAGCATATAAAGTAGAAAAAGAAGGGGTTAATACTAAGCGTGGGCGGTCATAAATATCTACAATCTATAACTAGTACTAAGTAGTGTAGGGTGTAATGGGACGTCGATAGGTCAAATAAATGTGCAGCCATAGGCTAAAACGATATCGGATATATGACAGAGGGTGGGAGAACAATGTATAGCCGAATTTCGACTATCATCAAATAAACAACGTTTTTTTTTCATTAGAAATAGTATGGAACCTGGTACGTCCATTAATTTGGAATACAATAAAGTTTGAAATAAGAAATATAGCAGAAACTAAAGTGTAATTTATGGCACGTCTGTAAAAACTACTCTTTGCTATTGGTAAATACTAAGTATCAAACTACAATTTGTATAGAAAAAATTGCTTACGATATGGGGAATAGAATTTTGACTTCAACACCATATCTGGTAAAGAGTACTTTAAAGATTTGCCAGCTTTTCGCGAGGAGGTCAACAGTTTATGGTATTCTCCACCCATCCACGATATACCGATCTACAATGCCTGGCATATTTTTGTTTATAACGAAAGTAGCATAAGAACTACGCGATTTTTGTTTGTTTTTGGAATTAAAGCATTTCGTTAGTCTTTTGGGAATTTCATCTTGGCCGTCAGCTTGGAGCCGGAAACTGAGACGATTGCCGATGTGTTGGCCGGACCGGAGTTACCCTCTGGAGCAGCGGCATTTGTATTACGCTCAAGGTAGGATTGGTTTCTCTTCGGGCTGTCGACGTTCATGTAGATGTGCGGCTTCGCTGTCGTCGGCTTTTGGGGACTGGTCCCCGCCGCTGCCACTGCTCCTCCTGCTGCTGCCGTTTGAGCCATGGAGAGCGGATGCGTTGGGACTGAGGGCGGCGGAGGAGCCGGCGTGGTGGGCGCCGAGGTCGCCGGCGGCGTGGGCGGCAGCTCCTCCTCCTCCAGTATTATGTCGTCGCCCACCATTGTTATGCGCCGGATCGAGGACGATCCGCTCCCCAGAGATCCAACTCCGGGCCGATAAATGGAGCTGCTGCTGATCCCGATCCCCAAGCCGCTGCTGGAGCTGGGACTGCTGCTGTTGAAGCCGCTGTTGGTGTAGGAGTGATTGTTCTTCTTGAGCGGCAATCGCAGATTGAGGCTGTTGCTGCTGCTGTTGCTGCTTCCGTTGGGAGTCGCCGTGAGGACTGAGGGGGGCGGAGGCGTAACGAAGGGCAGCGGGAGGTTCGACTTGCTTATCAGATCCGGAGCGCGTGTCATCAGTTCCAGGGCCTGGGCTGGCTGGCTTGGCGGCGGGTTCTGCACCGCCGATCCCGATCCCGGTGATCCTGCAACCGCTCCCGTTCCCGCTGCCGTTCCCCCCGACATCTGGGAGACGATTGTGCGGCTGTGGTTGTTGCTCAACCCGGTATCTTTCCATTTCTCTGAAACGAAGAATGACCGTGACTTAGTGCGTGTAGTTCAGGGAGTGGCGCCCGAGTGGACTCGTACCTGCAGCGCTGCTGGCGCCATTGGTCTTTCCGAAGGGCAGGAGGAGGCGTGCGGGCTGGCAGAAGACCACTGTCTTGTAGGCCTTGCGGTACTGCTTGTTCATGATCACATAGATGATCGGATTGATGCAGGCCGACAAATAGAGAAGGATGTAGCTGCAGATATGCAGGCTGGGGTGCTCCACGTTCTTGTCGGCCACCTTGACAATGGTGATGGGCAGGTAGCAGATGACGAAGGACAGGAAGATGGCCAGCACCATCTTGGTGATGCGCCACTCGTTCCGCTTGGCCCGCACCTCGCGCTGATCCTTGACTCTGGTCGGCTGCTGCTTGCCACTGGGCGCCGTCTCCGGCACTTCGGTGGAGAAGCTACTGCTGCTGTCCGAGGAGACGCGGTTGCCCGGTTGGCACTCCCCGCCCGAGGGCAGGGCTCCCGATCCCGTGCTGGCCAGCGGGCGCAGATTGTTGGGTATCGAGTTCTGCTTGGTGGCATGGCGCTTCAGGCGCTGCTCCGACTTGTGGACCACCCAGAAGATCTTGGCGTAGCAGGCAATGATCACCAGACAGGGGATGACGAACGCCGTGATAAACAGCGTCGTCTTGCTGCTGTGTCCGTGGTCGTCGGTCATAATGGAGCAGGTCTGCAGGCGATGATCATAGCCGAAGCGGCCCCATTCTCCGAGAAGCGTGGGCAGTTGCATGCCGTAGGAGAACAGCCAGCAGGCGGCGATCATAGCCGCAATCCAGTGGCTCTTATAGATCCTGGCATACAGTCCGTGGTGGGTGATCATCACATACCGATTGATCGTAATCATTGCGATGCACAGTAGGGAAACTCCGATGTTCCCGTACTGGATAAAGGGAATCAGGCGGCAGAGTACTTGCCCATGGCGCCAGGTTCCTTGGACGAAGCGCAGACCCTGGAAAGGCAGCACCAGTGCGCAGAACAGCAGATCGGCAATACACAAACTACAGAAGGGACAACAAGTTAGCTTGTACTTCAGGTGAAGCTTGGGTAACCTCACCTGATGATAAAGGCGGCGGCCACATTGCGCACCTTGGGACACTTTAGAAGGGCCACCACAGTCAGCAGGTTGCCGGTAATGCCAACAACCATTATGAGAAAGGTCATGACCGCGGCAAAGGTCAAAAGTGACTGCGAGAAGCTGAAAGTAAAATGACGTCATTAGAAGGATGTTCTAGGAATATAATTAGTGAAGGACTACTAACTTATTTTATGTATTAGTTAATACCCATTTCTCTTTTAATTTCATTTAATTTCATATACTGCGTACATGTATTCCCTATTTGACCCCCAATCGATACCATTTTGGCTGTCTATCTCAATGCTCTCACAGAGTGGTCCTCCCAGCCTAAGATCTCTCGACCTTTGGCGCCCATATGGCCCTGTGGCTATCACCATATCGGACTGGCTTCCGCTGGCTACTTACAAGAATTGCCCGTCTTTGTCTGTCGGCCAGCCGAGCGATCGCCACTGGTGCAATGGAGCGCGTAATATTAACGATCTCTTATCGGGCCTCTCCCAGCCGGGGGCTATAATTACCCAGAAGCCACTGATAGCTCCATCTCACTTGGCACCCACTTGGCACATCGTCAACACTCCCAGCTCCCAGTTCCCAGTTCCCTGGCCCCAACTTACCCGCTCTCATCCGCTGGCGGAGCCATAGTCGTCAACGCCTCCAGGGGGGGATAGCCGTCTAGGCTAATGGTTGTCTCGTCACTCATACTTCTGGAAGAGAGGAGGGGAAGGGGCTTTATTAGAGTGCTATCCAATTAAAGATGGTAGATATGTGGACCTGGGAAGAGCTACAGCCTTACTAGCTTCTCGTGGTTAACGAATTAAAACCACTTCGTACAAATTAAAAGATCATGATGTAGTGCCCTAAGATCATGATCTCAAAGATTGTCCAATGTTATTAAATGAAACATCGCATTTATTGAGATTGGTGATATGATTCATTTTTTCCTGCAATAAACTATCAATATAGAATAAATCACTTTCTTAAGTGCCGATTCACTTGCGAAGAAGAAGGCAGGGTTACATCAAAATCAATATTGATTACAACAAATGTTGAGGCTTAACCAAATATTCCCTTGATTTGTTGATTATGTTTGAGTTCCACTTTCTTCTTAAGAGCGATGAACTTGAACGTTGACAAAATCACGACCATCAAGGTTATCAGTCGGCTAGCAAATGTTTGCGGTTGTTGTCCAATCAGTTCCTGTTTCTCAAGAGCCTAAATGCTTTATTAATGATGGATCATTGAATTATTGAATTTATTTTATGTCTCAATAAAGGGATTAACTTTAAAAGGGTGGCGCACATAGATAATATAAGTTGAATACACTTGAAAAAATGAATTTGATCCAGTAACCAACAGTATTACAGAGAATATTTGTATCTTGGTGACATTTTGGGTTTCTGATTCACTTGCTTTGCAACAATAGAAAGTTTTACTTAAAAAAAGTAACAACAGAATGTATATAAAAATGATCTTAGGGTTAGCACGCATAAAATGGATGTCGTATTCACCGGAGATATCTTCGACGATAATTGAAATTAACAAATTTGAATAACTACACCACCTAGGGTTCTCTTTTCTTAAAGCTGTTAACTTGCTCCTGATCCTGTTGACAAGCACGTTTGCTGCTGACCATTCACCGATCCACGATCACTGAACACCGATCGCCACCGCCGACAATCGCCAACTGGCAGCGGCAGTGGCACTTGAGTGGCGTGGCCCAAGTCTGTTAAAAAAAAACTGGCGCTGACTGCATTTTGCGCCGACGCAACACTCGTAACCCGTAAACCATAACCAGCCACCCGGAGTCCGAAGCCCGTAACCCGGCTTGAGGCGTGGCACCCCTTTTGCTCTTCGGGACTATGATAAATTAGTGTCAATTAAATAATTTAAAGAGGTCACACTCGTCTCTGTTTCGGTTTCGGTTGTTCGGCGGCAGTAGTTTCAGTGGCTGTTTCTGCCGCAGCGGCTTCTGCTTCTGCACCACTTGGGGTGCAAAGATCAGCGCCGAACCTTAATTAATTGAGTGACTGTTTGGCGGAGACGGGTGTCTCTGAGGTCTCTAATGTGTGATGCGATGAGAAGTGCTCTGTTCTCCGCTCGAGTGGTCGCTAATCGAGACAAGTGTTATGTTCTTCAACCGCTCTCACGAGTGAGTGAAACATTTAATTTGAAATACATTTATATTTAAAAGAGATTGTAAATCTTGAGATTATTTTGAATAATGGTTGGAAAGCCTAATAAACATGAGACATTTAGACAAACGTTATTTTCCCTGTGTCTCTTATCAAAAATTATGAATAAAAAAAAGAGTTTCAACAGATTTTTATGATCCAATATTCCAAGTTAAAATTAGGAATATTGGTTCTTAAAAATCTTTTGAAACTCTTTTTTTCATTTGAGAAGAAATCATTTCTGATACTCAACGAATCGTTTGAATCTTTATTACGTTACGCTATTGCTTGCTGTGTGTATTTTTTTCACTCTACTGAGAACTTGTAGTAATGAATTTTTACAACTATGGAAATATTAATTTTAGAATATGGGTTCTCAAGGGTGTAATATGAAAATGTGTTGTTTATTAAAAACATAGCATCTCTGTTTGTAACTGAAAGGCTTTAATCTGGATTGTATAACTTATTTGTTTTCTGTGTACTCTGCTCTGTCCTATTTGCCTCTCTGTTCAGGTCATGGCTGCAATTTAGCGTGGCTCAATGGGGCGTATACGCAATCTGTCTGGCTCGCTTTCTTCCACGAGTTTAGAATATGCCGTTATCTTATCGGTTGAAAAGAGTACTTACCTAGTTGAATTTGGTTTTGTTATTTGGTAATCCTCTGCGATTCTAGCGATCGCACGGGTCTCTCTCTCCTTTCTCTCTCCTTGCTTCCCGGTAGTTCCCTTATCAGTGGTCAGGAGGGGATGGTGAGTTGTGGTGAGAAGTGGGGATGGGAAATTGCTTGTTTATTTGTTTTCTGCTCACGTAATCGAAACTAGTGCTGCAGCTGCGATCTCTACACTTTCTGCTCCCCTTTTACTCCATTCCACTCTCCACTCCAATCCAATCAACTCCACTTCACTCCTCTCCTCGACCAGGTAGAGCGAGGTGAGTGAGTGAGTAATGCTGTGAGCAATGTAAACAGTTTACGGCATTCGCATTCGCTGGGGTTATTCATTAATCGTTGTGGTTTTTGTTGTTGCTGGGGGACGCCACTGAATCTGCTGCTTTTATTGTTGTTGTTGCTGTCGGTGATTCAAAAGCCGCCCCGGCTCTCATGACTAATACCTTCGACTCGCGAGATCAGGTAGAGAATAAAAGGGTTACAGGTTGCCAAGATTCAAATCCAAGCCCCAACTCAGCACTAAACACTATCACAAAAACAAAAAAGCAAAGAAATTCGAAAAGGGGCACACGCTCGCGATAAAACCAACGGCATCGAATGTCACTCGATTCGAACTGAAATCGAAGTAACTTTCTGTTTATTACCCGGAATGAGTGGACAATTCGCAGTGGTCGAACGTAACGGACAAATTGCGTATCGCCCGCGTTCTCGGTTCGGATGGGATTCGGATCGGATAGGATCGGATCGTCTATAACTGCCGGATCGAGTGCAGTTCGTCGAGTGCGGGCAGAGCAGCGCGGTCGCGAGTTACGAGTCGCTATATTGATATTGTCAGTTGACAAATAGGAGGCTCTCACTCTCACTCTCGGCCTTAGTCAAACCGTCTCTCTGCTGCTGCCCAGGGCCGTAGCCGGTTTGCCTCCCAGAGGGTTCTAGCCCCCCTGTTAAAAATTCTCCTACCCTCTCTCTCGCCTTCCAGAAGGATGTACAATTTTCATCAAAAGCTCAAGTGGCTTTATAATGACAATAAACAAACTCAAACAACTGATCTGCATAAATATTATTAAAAACTGTCAGCAAAAAAAATTGTCGCCAAACTGTTAGTAAAATTCGTTGCTTGTCTATTGGATTTTTATTCCTTAGCATTAATTTTTAAATTTGTTTTAATTTTAAAAGAGAAAGCAGACCCCTAGACCCCCTTTCACCACGCCCCAGAGCTGCCCCCATGACTTGGCGCTCTCTGCGGTTCTCTCGATCGCTCATATTTCCGCACTCTCGCCTTCTCGGCCGGTGATAGTGCGACAGACAGGGACGGACAGACAGGCGGCCATCTGCCGATCGAGGGGCGGGTGTGGGAGTCAGAGCAGCTCGAACGCTCACTGATTGCCGATCCGATGCATATCGCAGATATGCCCGCTCCTCCTCCTGCCCCTTGCCTTGTGCCCCACAGAAGCAAATGTGCAACAGCAGCAGCAACATCAAGAACAACGATTGCAGCAACAACAGCTGATAAGGCTTCATGCGTCTGCATTCTAATGTTTACACAATTGGACATTCGACATCGATCGAGGCGATCCAACATGGCTGCACTGGGAAAAAAAAGGGACTTTTGTCTCCTACACCGATAAGAATCACAGGAAATTAAGGTCAAAGTTTGGATTGATTCAAATTTTTAAATTTAAAATGTATGTTATGGGGAGAAGTATAAAAACCACATTAGAATGATTCACATTATTCGTGTCAAGCAATCTGAAACATTTAAAACCAAATTACTCAGCGAGAATTCTATAAAATAATACTAAATATAATGTCATTGAATTTCTAAGAACGATTTGACGTGCATTTGTTGTTAATTATTTAATGGTTAATAGAATTATAGAATCATAGAATTTTATGTCGACTATTGTCAGCTAGGAAAGGCAGACTTTTTTCACGTGCAGATATCGAACTGAAGACGTGGCGATTTGTGTGCACTCGCTTTTGTTTGTTGTTTGCTGAGGATTGTGTGAAGAACATGATAGTTTATGGTTTATGGCTATCTAAACATAGGCCCGTGCGTGTGCGTATGCGTTTAAGTACGCCCGAGAAGTTTACATTACCCCGGATCTGAATCAGGAGCGGACGAGGTTGGGTGGGACGTCGATTGGCGTTCGATTCGTATTCACAATCACATCCACAATGGTCGGGTAGCTTCAGTTTCCACTTTAGTGCCCATTCCGTAAGAATTTCCACGTACAGTGGGGGGCGGTAGAATAGCATGGAAAAACCAGTTCTAAGAAAAAAAAAGAGTTAAAAATAAGACTTAAGTTATGTTGAATAAAGATTTTCTGGCTTAATAACAGCAATGTACAAAATCTGGCCAAACATTAGAAAAACTTAATAAATTCTACAAAATACAGACGTCTCCTCTTGTTAAACTTTAAAATATATTGTATTTCTTGTTATTAGCATGTATCGCGGCTTGCGTATTGCAATTCTTATAAATTCATCCGATTTTAACGATTGTAAACAAACATAAAAAAGTTTCTTGTAATAAGGGTGAATGTGATATGGCGCTATATTTTCCTCGAAAACTGTATGCTATTTTTGTGTAGTCGACTGCAATTCCCGGACTACTGGCCTGCATAAAAACAAACATCTAATTCGTATTCGTATTCGTGCCGTTGCCAAAGAGTTTTCCCCGAACCGCTTGTTTTTTCATTTTCAAAAGGCAAACGATACTCAATTTGCCCCAACAGACGACCCGCACTCTGACCCTCGGAAAAAAGAGGGCCGCAGAAAATGGACTTGATTAATTAGGACTAAGTTCGATCTACACTCTGACGTCGAGTGACCCCAGTTGACTCATTTTCCCTAACGGGTTATGGGGGCGCGGAAATCGCGGAAAATGTAGTAATGATTCAGGGTCCGTCGCCCATGAGTGTGTTTTTGTTTTACGCATAGATTCGATCACATGCATATACCATGTACATATTTATAAACCATAATCTCGAGTGAGTCTCGCATAAGTTGTACGATTTTTTTAGTTGCTAGTTCCTCAATTCGAATGGACGCTGCCCATTTATTATCCAGAAAATTGCTAGAGGAAACTTTGCACCCACACAACGCACGGCCCAAGAACCGAAAAGATTTCAATTTCGAAAATGCCCGGAGAGGTGCGTACGGCCCGAATTCAGGGCTGCAAAGAGATACACCCTTTCATCAATTAAAATGTTTCAATATACGAATCATTTTTGAGAAATACATTTTAGGAGTAACATCCCTAAGCCTAGGATTGGCATCGGTCATGTGTCTCCAATCCAGAACAGATATAATATAAAACGGAAAGTGGTGTAAAAATAGAATAATGAATTTAAACGAATTTTACAAAGCACGTTTTCACTTCTGTTTATTCGATTAATAAACGTGACTATATTAACAATTAAACTTCGATGTTCATTGTAAAGAATGACTGATTCGGCTACAAGATAGCAAAAACATTACTGTCGTTTCCAAAGAAAATGTGTAACTGATATCATTAATGGTATACATATGTAAAGCAGTAGAAATTACTTTGCATTTGTATTTCAAAATTTCTTATGATTTATTTCCCAAGATTGTCAGTTTAATCAACACAAATTGAGTGTATCATTGAGGAAATTAATGAACGCTATATTGACAAATTAGGCAATAAATAAATATAAAAAAAATTTAAGACAAATAAACATTCTTTATTGGGTTTTCAGACGATGGTAGCCCTGGTTTAAGTATTTGGAAATTCCAAAAAACAGCAACAACAGCAACATGACCCCGTCAGAATATCGACGAAAAAGCGGCAATCGGGGGCGGAATGGGCGGAATGGGGGAGGGGGAGGGGCAGTGCGGGGGCGGCAGCGAAAGAAACAACACCGAATAGGAACAATGTAAACAAAGCGCCCATTCCACAGGCAAATTACCAAATTACCCGATGATGAAGTCAATTGTTGTATACAATAAAAATGTGTGTTGTTGCTGCTGCTGCTCCGGTATTCTTTTGTTTTCCTTTTTTCGAAAGTTTTTCTAGTTCGCCTGCTGGTTGTTTTTTTTTTTTTTTTTTTTTTTCTCAATATTTTGTACGCTTGGCTGACGGCGGCTGCCTTCGGGCCCACTTTTTGGGTGGGAACAATGTGGATGTGTGAATGCGGAGAATTCGGTTTTAGTACAAATTCGGCGCAGGAACGAGCAACGCGCCCTCTTGCCGACCACAAAGTACCACGCGATGTTCCCACCCGGTCGGAATCCGCTTCCGATCTCGATGCCGCTGCCAGTTCCGGATCCCCATGTGATCAGCAGGGCCGCCCAGGACCCGGGACCCGTTGACCTGTCGGAGAATCTGGACCTGGACGGGGACTTCAATCTGGACGGGGGGCGGCAGGAGCTGTTCGAGGGCTACTCGGACGAGCTGCTGACCATCGCCTGGGTGGCCTGCATCGTGTTCATCATCGTGGGCGTCCCCGGCAACCTGCTCACGATCGTGGCCCTCGCAAGGGGCCGCCAGACCCGCAACTCCACGGCCATATTCATCATCAATTTGTCCTGCTCGGACCTGCTATTCGGCTGCTTCAATCTGCCCCTGGCCGCCTCCACTTTCAGGGAGCGGGCCTGGACGCACAGTGACCTCTTGTGCAGGCTGTTCCCCATGCTGCGATATGGCCTGCTGGCGGTATCACTGCTCTCCGTCTCGCTGATCACCATCAATCGGTACATCATCATCGCCCATCCGAGGCAGTATCCCAGGTAAATGTTGAGTATTTGCAGTTCCTAGAAAAAAAAAAAAAAAAAAAAAAAATAAGATCATTTAACTAGAATACTATTTTAAATTGATCAAACCTATATCTTAATAAATTTATTTAAGAGTAACGAATCCATCTTGCAAAATATTTAGTTGCTTACCAATGGTAATTCGTAGCATTAACATTTCCTATTGATTGTTTCAATAAATTTAGAAATACAATGGTTTCAATGTTTATAAAAGAGGAGAAAAATGGGTTGTCTAATTAACTTCAAAAATAACATAATGCTATAAGGCCAACTGCAAAAACTGTCGGGTCAATGAACTCTAATTATTCAAACTTAATATAGGCAATGACCATAACTAACCATCTCTGCCCCCAGGATCTACCAGCGACGATACTTGGCTCTAATGGTGGCCGGCACCTGGGTGACCACCTTCTCCATCATGATACCCACCTGGCGCGGCGTGTGGGGAATCTTTGGGCTGGACGTTAGCATCGGCTCCTGCTCCATCAAGCACGATCGGTATGGCAGATCGCCCAAGGAGTTCCTCTTCATCGCCGCCTTCATGGTGCCGTGCATCTGCATCGTGATCTGCTACGCCCGAATCTTCCTGCTGGTGCGAAAGGCGGCCATTCGGGCAGGAACCGCTGGGAAGACCACTGTCAGCGATGTGACCCCCAGTTCGACGACGCAGCACCAGGCCCAAGCCATGGCCATGCAGAGGAGGCCGGAGAAGGCGAGCACGTCCAGTGGCGAAGCTCCGGATGCAGTCCCCGGACGACCCTTTGTGGTGGAGGAGCACCTGGCGTACATCGATGACAATGCCTCGGCAGACAGTCTGCCCATCTCGTACAGCATTAGGCGGCGGGATGAGGACCAGCAGCAGCCGCCCGTGGATGCTAATGTGGTGCTCAAGGAGCGGGAGAAGGTAAGGGACCGGGATCAGGAGAAGGCTAGCCTGGGACGCAGTCAGACGCAATTGGAGACGGGCAAGACCGCTGGGTGAGTTGCTCCAAGGTGTTCCTGCTGGGTCGCTCTCAACCGCCGTGTCCTCCCTTTTCCAGAAAGAACCCCATCACCACCTCACTACGCACCTCCTTCACCAGGTTCAGTCCGCGGAAGTCGCACTACGTATCCATGGGCAACACCTCGAATGCCTCCTCCATTTACCCGGGCAGGATGAGTGCCAAGGACCGGAGGCTGCTCAAGATGATACTGGTGATCTTTGTGTGGTTCGTGATCTGCTACCTGCCCATCACGGTGGCCAAAATCTGGAAGAGCGCCACTGAGGTGCATTGGTTTAATATCGCCGGCTATCTACTCATATACTTGACCACCTGCATCAACCCACTGATCTACGTCCTGATGAGCTCCGAGTACCGGAGGGCCTACTGGAACCTGCTGCGCTGCCATGGATCACCCGATCCCCACAAGCAGCGGAATCAAGTCAACGCCAATGCCAAGCGGAAGCACCTGGAGTCCAGCCGCCAGGTGAAGGCCACGACGTGACGAGGACATCTTCGTCATTGCCTTCGTCGTCCTCCGTCCCAGCAGGATATGATATATGGGATGAGTACCGTAGTTTCACACTGTACGACACGTGGTAAGCAACGAACCACATATATTACGATCAGCAGATAAATCCCTTGGTCCCCTGGCGATCATCGTGCCTCCAAATGCCTCGATGTCTAGTCACACGATCCTGTGAGATCCTGTGTCCCTTCCACGCACACACGAAAACACAGATCGCCCATCTATATCTATCTCTACATAATGTAGGAACACCAGAAGTGTATTGCATTTTATACCAAATGACTTTAATATCTGGTTTTACATTTGAATTCCATGTTTAAGAACAATCGATGTTTGTTTGTTTTAGTTTGTTTTTTTTTTTTTTTTTTGCTTGTCGCTAATTATTGTACCAATACATAATAGATATATCCGTATATGGATATACCCTATCTATGCCCCCAATAAATGCTTTGAATAATTGATATATGTAGTTACGTTGTTCTCATCCACCCAACTCCGAATTCCGAATTTCCGATTTCCGATTTTCCGGGCCACTCCGCCGTGGGGGCAATACAATAGTGTATAGTGTATAGTGTAATCATAAGTAGATCTATAGCTTAACGCTATTATTATCAATATACATATTGTATATGTCTGCGTGTATGCGTACGAAACTTGGACTACTTAAGGCTAGTAACACAACTAAATCTTTCAATATTACGGCATGGCTCGGTTCGGCATTGATTCCATCGGCTCCAATAAATATAGCTCCTGCCGCGATCGATGTTAATCCGACTCCGACTCCGACTCCGCTTCGCATCCGTATCTGTATAGGTATACGTACTTGTATAGGCTATGTATATGTATGCATGGGTGTATATCGTATATGGATCAAATAATTCATAATTGCGATTGCGAGCTTAATAAAAAGGTTGCCCCGTTCCGGCCCCCATTAGTTAGATGCCTCTTACACCCACTCCCCCGAAGGGCCATCCCCTCAGACTGACTCCAGGTGCTCGGATATCTCGAGGATGGGGCTCTCGCTGAGCGGCTTCACCAGCGACTGCCAGTTGGGTGCAAACAGGCTGAGCACGGGCGTGGATGTCTGCAAGAGGGATGAAGGATTAGCGGCTGGGCAACCATTGTTATCCGCGGCACCTACATGATAGTCGGGCTCCAGGCTGTGCCCGTGGGGCGTGGCCGGCTTGCACTTGACCGTGGGCGTGCCCGGCGCTGTGGACGGTGGCGCTGAGCAGGACACTCCTCCCGCAACGGAACCGCCTCCGTTGGGCGCCGCACCCGCTCCCTGGTCCGATTGGCTGATATAGGAGGTCTTCAGGTTCATCTGGCTGAAGGCATGGGCTCCCGGCATGGTCATGGAGTGCTGCAGCCTGGGGGTTCCGCTCCTGGGTCGATCGAGCAGGGCCAACTCGTACAGCTCGTCGGCCAGGTGCTGTTCCGGAGCGGGAGCCGGAGGCGGTGGATGACCCAGGGTATGGCCAAAGTGGTGGTGCTGCTGTTGCTGCTGCTGGTGGTGGTGATGGCTGTGCTGCTGCTGCTGCTGCTGGTGATGGTGATGACGTCCTGCCAACTGGGCCTCCAGGGCATACTGCTTCTGGAAAAGCTGACGCTTCTGCTGCAGCAGGCGGTGCTGCAGTAGTTGCTGCTGCAGCGGTGGCTTCTGCATCGGAGACATGGGCACGGCCACACCCACTCCCACGCCCAGCGGATGGTGTGGATATAGTCCTGGGGGCGGCGGTGGCGGGGCATAGCATCCGTGTCCGTACAGATCCCCACCAGCCGCCGTTTCCAACAGCAACGGCGCGGCCTGGTGGCCTGGGTGGAACAGTGGGTGGTGGCCATGGTGCACTGGGTGACCATGGTGATGGGGCAAAGTCAGCAGGGGATGGTGCTTGCCGGGCAGAGCGTAGAATTGACCATTCGGAAATTGACAGAGTTCCTCCAAGCCGTAAGCCTGGGCATGTGGATGCGGATGAGGATGGTGATGCGGATGTGGATGCTGATGCGGATGCTGATGGTGGGCATGCGGGTGGGGATGCCCCACGGCCGCCTCCTGCTGCAGCTGCTGGATCTCCAGCCAGCCGTGCCGCTTGGCCTGCTCGTAGCGATAGCTTCCGTAGACGCGACTCGTGCCCAACAAGGAGCCGGAGCTCAGCAGGCCCTGGGCCACCAGGCCATCGCTCGCCCGTCGTCCCTCGCGGAAGTGTATGGGCGACCGCTTGTCCAGAAACGGAGCGCCAGCTCCATTGGGCGGCGGCGTGGGATTAGGCGTGGGCGTGGAGGCCGAACTTTGGGGCAGACCCAGGCCCAAGGCCAGAGCACCGGGCATGTGGATGCAGGAGTTGTGGCTGCCGTACAGCGACCTCTCCGACGAGTGCTCCGACGAGATGGCCGCCGGCGAGGCCGAGGCCGGGGTGGGCGTGGCCAGCATCGAGCTGGAGCCCATGCACGAGGGCAGGCTGCCCTTCCCGGAGGGCAGGGCGAAGTCCAGGCTGTCGTAGGGACCGCTGCAATTGCTCTTGGAGGAGCCGCGACTCAGGTTCTGGCTTAGACTCTTCGAGTAGCTGCCAGCGCTCCCGGCGAGCACTCCGCTGGAGGAGCTGCTGCTGGCATACGAGCGCATCCGGTGGCTCTGTCCGGAGGTGGTGGTTCCGGCGAGGTGGGTGAGATCGCTGCTGGAGTGCGAGGTGGGGCCGCCGTTGGCGTTCCCTCCGCCTCCGCCACTGCCATTGCTGCCCTTCGACTCCTGGGAGGCCGATCCCGCCTCGTTGCCCTGGTCCGTCTCGCATCCTTCGTCCGTGCTGGAGCTTCCCTGCGCCAGCACCTTCTTCTCCGATCGGCTACTGGGCATTGGGTATGGATCAGTCCTAATCCGGATAACGATTTAATTGAGGAGACTCACCTGTCACCATTTGATTTAGACTCGTTGATTTCCTGGCCAGAGTCGCCACCGCTGCCATTGGTGCTTCCCAGGTGCCCGCGTCGCTTGGCCCGTTGCTGGAGAGGATTGGTAGTTAGAGAATGGAAGATATGGTCATTACCTCTTGACTGGCACTCACCTCCACTGGCAAAGGACTCTCCTGGAGGGTCTGGAAAAGCTTGCTGGCCTCGGCGGACATCTTGTAGCGAAAGCTCTGGCCCAGATTGGCCTTGGAGTCGAAGCTGCTCGAGCTGGACATGGCCTTTATTGTCTTGCTGTTCATCTCACCGGGGCAGGAGCCCGAACCTGGACCTGGTCCCGCTCCCAGTGCCGCTGCATTGGATGTGGGTGTGGTGGAGGCGGGTGGATTGGCGGCTCCTGCGCCGGCATCCACCTTCGACGACTCCTCCTTGCCCTCCGCCACTGCTGTTGACTGTGGATGAGACATGGATTAACTGGATATATCTTTATGCTGAGTGGCCAAAACCCACCTGCTGCAGCAGTGCCCGGCAGTCTTCGGTGCTCTGTTTGATGATGTACTCGCTGATGGTCTGATGCAGCTGCTTGGACACCAGAGGCACACCCACGCCTCCGACAGGTCCGCCTCCTGCCTCCATCATCTCCCGGCAGCGCAGGTTGGCCAGCGAGGGATTGTTGTCGATGCTCAGTGAGATGGCCACCGGTCGATGGCTTCTGGGCGAGCTGGAGCTCAGGCTGTGCCGCCCGATCCTCGAGGATGTGGATGAGCAGTTTGAGGGAGCGGGCGAGGCGGCCGTCGGCAGAGGCGTGTACCGCATTGGCAGGGGTATCCCGGCGGCGTCCACCTCGGCTCCTCCTCCTCCTCCTCCATTGAGATACCCGGCCAGGTGGGCGGGCCCTGGCAGGGGGAGTGGCAGTTGCAGGGGGCCGTACTTGGCATAGTACCCGGATCCGGGATCCGGGACAGTGGGCGTGGTCCCAGCGTGGGACGTTCGCTCACTCATGAGCACCGTCTGATGGCGGCTAAGTCTTTTGTGGGCCTGATCCTTGGGCAGGATCGAGCTGGTGGATATTGTCTTGGGCTGCTGCTGCTGTGGATGTGGATGTGGATGTGGGTGTGGCTGTGGCTGCTGCGGCGGCTGCTGCTGGTCGATCTTGGTGCTCTTGTAGAGCATCCGACTGGCGGCGGCCGACGAGGAAACGGAAACGGCAACTGGACCGGAAGCCGAGCCATTGCTCTGCTCCTTTTTGTGGCTAACCCGATCCTGGAGGAGCAAATAGATGGCCGCCACGTGATCGTAGGTGTTCTTCTTGAGACTGGCCCGCGTCTTGTCCGGACCAATGCCCACGTACTCGGCCATGATGCGCAGGATGTCCTCGCTGGGCTCCATGCCCGCCTGCCGCTCGGCTCCCAGATTGTACTTGGCGATGAGGACGTGCTCCAGCAGCTCGGGGCACATCCACCGATGGCGCTTGATCTGCTCGATGGTGTAGCGCCTCGTGGGCTCCAGCACCAGCATCCTGCGGATGAGGTGCTCGCACTCGGAGCTCATGAAGAACGGGATGCGAAAGCGGCCGGACAACACCCGATCCCGGAGGCTCTGCAGTGTGGATCCGTCGAACGGCAGGGCGCCACATACCAGAACATAGAGCACCACACCCAGTGACTGCAAAGAAGGATTACGGATTACATTGCACAAGACACTTAACATCTTAAGCTCTATAGCTAAATGATGTAACCAAATGATTAGTTACTTACCCAAATATCAATCTCCGGACCTGTGTACTGCTTCCCCTCGAAAACCTCGGGTGCTGCGTACGGCGGAGATCCGCACCAGGTGGCCAGGAGTTCACCCGGCTTGAAGTGATTGGAGAAGCCAAAGTCCGCTATTTTGATGTTCATGTTGAGATCCAGGAGCAGGTTCTCCGCCTTGAGATCACGATGCACAATGCCATTTTTGTGACAGTACTCCACCGCCGAGATGATTTGCCAGAATTTGTACCGAGCCGCCGACTCCGACATCCGCCCGTACTTTGCAATGTAATCTGAGGGGGATTCCGATAGGTTAGACTCTGGATAACTTAAAGGAACATAAAAGAATTCCCTTTGCATATTTCTATAACACGATTCATTTCTTCTTTATGAAATCAAATTCATATGTTATTCAAAAGTTTATGTTTGAATCTACTTCTTAAAATGGTAAGGAAATCTTATTGCATTTGCTCTCTTAATTTTCTATAAATGACTTTAGTATTCGAGCAGATAAAATAACGTTCGATGATCTAAAATATACTAAACAAAGTTTTTATATCGTAAGGAAAGGTCGTTATTATTGAGCTTTACAGAAAGATGGCCAGCCCTTATCATTTAAGTCCTTATCTGGTTAAATTTCCTATTAATCTGCATTCAAATATCAAATATGACAAAGGGGAGTTTTAATGGTGGACCCTAAAGTTCATGCTTTTACCCACCAAAGATCTCTCCCTGGCTGGCGTACTCCGATACTATGTAGATCATGTTCTTTGTCTCCATAACCTGTGGAATTGGTTAAATACACATTTAAATAGCGGTGATGGTGATGATTTAGCAATAAACAAGGCCACTCACCTGGTAGAGCTTGATGATGTGTGGGTGCTTCAGGCGCTTCATGATCTCCACTTCGCGGTAGACCTTCTGTAGATTTGTTTGGTCCAGCTGCGACTTGTCGATGATCTTGATGGCCACCTCGTTCTTGGTGATTCGATGTCGGGCCAGCTTGACCACGGCAAAGTTGCCCTTGCCAATGGTGCGTTCGATGTCGTAGAAGCCCACGCGCATGGGCTCCTTGAGTTTGAGCAGGTCCTTGCCACTCACCCCGCCTGCTCCCACCGCCGAGGATGTGGGACTGGGGCCGGGCGTCGTGCCGCCGCCGCTGGCGAAGAGCTTCTGGGCGAGCAGGGCATCCTTGCAGGCCACCAATGCTTCTATCGAGGGAGCGGCAGCACTGGAGTCCAGGAGGACAGAGCTCCGGATGCCTTCAAGTTGGGGGTGAGGATTTGGTTTGTCAGGGGCTTCCGTTTCGGCCTTGCCATTCTGCGGTTGCTTCTCCTGCTGCTTGTCCAGCTGCCTCTCGTGCTTCTCCTGGTGCTGCTTCTGGTTCTGCTGGTCGTCCGGCGGCTGGCTCTCCTCGGACTTGGACTGGCTCCCATCCTCGCCAGCGGCCGCCGCCTCGCACGTGCTCATTTTCCAACTGCGCCACCCTGGGCGGGGAAACTCACACGGAGAGCGAGTGTCGGAGAGATTCAGAGATCGCGATCGACAGCGAGATGATGATGCACATGCTCACACTGCATGCAGGGAGTGCACGGAACACACACATCTCCTGCCCCATGGCAGCGCTGCTACACCTACACAGTAAGAAAATACATAAATATTTGTTTTTATTCCCATAAGAGATGACATCAGAAAGATCACTCATGTGCAAATACGAAATTCGTACAATGTTTTTTAACAATTCAATGAAACGATCCAAAGCTTATTCCCACGCTTAATCTTTAGGTTATTTTTATAACCTTTATTTTGTAATCAATATATTTGTTGTTCTATAAAAGGACTTCTAACTTCTAACTTATACCAAATTGGTTCGCTTTGAAAATTAAATTAAGAAATATCGAATTCTAAGAAAATGATATTAGGAATAACCTACAAGATATTTTATCTTTTTCTGACACATTGGTTTTGTTTTAAAAAAAATTCAATTGTATGACTAATGTTGTGTTTTTTCCCATGTAAGTGCCCAAGAGAGAGGGGTTGCTTAGAGGGGGAGGGATAGTCGTAGCTTGATAAGAGATTAGCTCAGCTATCTGAGTGTGTATGTGTATGGCTTTCGGACATTACAAGCCAGCAAAGCCACTGTTCGTGTGTGTGGGTGCACTCTCTGCCTCTCTTTCTCCGGCAGTGCTGTCACAATTCAATAGTTGGCAAAAATCAAAGTCAAGTTAATATTACTAAAGGGTCCAGTCCAGTCCACTTGAATATTAGTATTTAATTTAATATTCCCGTCGTTAAAGCACACATCTTGACCCTTGAAGAACTAGAACTTAAGGGTTTTAAAATCACTAGCTTAGAGGCCTAAAAGTATGCCACACACATGTTTTCGCTGCACTTCCGCTTTCAAAATGGCTATTTTCCAGCCACAAAATGGCCGAAGTGGCAGCACTGCCTTTGTGTGCGAGTGGGTGGCTGCCAGTGTGTGGGTGCCAGTGCACGAGTGTGTGTGTGCGTGAGTGTTGGTGAAAAATCAATAAGCAGAGCAGCCGCATCGCATCGCATTGCGGAAATCGCGGAAATCACGGAAAGCAAGGAAATCGCGGAAAGCCCTCGCCTGGGCAGCAATCCGGAAGCCAAACGCCACTGATATCCATCGCCGGCTGCAGTGCAGCTTCCCTCGCCCCGAAACCGCTCCACCGAATTACCGTGAGATGTGCACGCGTGGAAAACCCAAAACGTCGCCGGTTGACAAAGAAGTTTCGGGCAGGAGCAGGAGCAGAAGCAGGAGTAGGAGCTGAACTCCGAGCTGGAGCAGCTAAGGCAGCTGTAGCAGCCGAGTCCGGTTGATGGCGATGAGAGGATGAACGCTGGCGAAGATCCGCTTCACATCCCGTTCGCGGAACGCCACACATGCGGCACGGAAGGGCACAACACACAGACACAGGCGCTGCGACACACACGGCGGATGACTGGGAAACGTGGCTGCCTCCAATCCCGATCTGCGTCCAACTGGCGTCCGCATTTGACGCAAGCTCGGCGCTCGTCTGTCCCACTCCCCCTCGTTTCCCGACCCCCAGCAGCGAGGGTTGCCAAGTGAGTGCCAAGTGCCCGGTGCCAAGTACCGAATCGCCGAGAACCGAACACCGAACGCCGAGCACCGTGGTCCCATCGCCAATTGGTGGCAGCAGTGGCAGCCAGTGGGAAAAAGGGTTGCCGAGCAGTCGAGCAGCCGAGCACCACATTTGGTCACTGAGCATGCGCCAACTTTTTCGAGGCAGTGGGACGTTCGACGCAATTTCCACCCAGCAAGCAACACATTTGAAATCCGCGCCATTTGTTGGTAAGAGTTCGCAGCCAACTTAACTTGATTACAACTTTCAAAAATAAGCTCCAACGAAACATTAGCCGTAGCATTTTTTCCGATAGAGTTCGTTGCATGTTTTTCCAACCACTGATTACATTTAATTTCCGTATTTAAATGACGATAAGTTGCACTCACATATAAGCCATTTAGATCCCCTAACTATTCCAAAGAATTGTGAAAGCAATCGATTCGGTTATGACCACACATTTATATTTCTTATATTCATATTCGCTGGAGGTCTTACAAATTATATTTTGTACAGTGGAACGGCTGCCAACGGCTTCCGGTCGGTCCGCTCTCTTCCTCTCCCTCTTTCTGGCACGTGCCATCCCGCTCGCTTCCAAGCGTGTGAAAGGGACCGACGCAATCTGGGATCCGGTATCCGGCATCCGAAGGGCTGACGCCTTCCCCAAATGAAGTTAGTATATACACGGACCGATGCAACTTATGTACATAGAACAGATTTCACAAAAACACGCTAAAAGCATTCTTAGTCTACGGGTTTCTTCCACCCCAGCGATTCACGCGGATCAGATCAGGAGTTGTACTCCGACTAGTGATGGCTCCGCATCTGCATTTGCTGGGGATTGGTCTAGTTCGTCTAGTTTTGATTAATGTATCTTATTTCTGGGGCTGAGTCTGCCCGGGATCCTGCTGGAGCTGCTGCTGCAGCTGCTCCTCCTCCCCGTAGCAGCGGCGCTTGAAATCGCCGAAAAGATCGGGACGCGGCTGAAGACCCTGCTGGGGACGGTCCACGCTCACCGCCTGCGTGGTGTTCCTAGAAGAGTGAACAATTAGACATCCATCTGCATTAGACACCACCACCCGACCTTACCTGGTTTTGGTGAGCACCGTGCAGCCGCGCTCCACCGCCATGGTCAGGGAGTAAAGCGTGGCCAGGTTGCACATGCTGTCCGGCTCATAAAGCTCGATGTCGGGCAGACGGATCTGTGTCTGTTGTGGGTCCTGCAGGAACCGGGCGATGCGCTCGTTCACGCTCATCTTGATGCTGAAACCTGGTCGCTCGCCATTGATGCGGCGGCAGCCGGCCCTTATCTCGCGCACCTCCTGTCCCTGAGCCTGTCCTGGCGGCGATGAGGAGAGAAACGGATTCGAAGTCTCGCCGGACATCTCGCTCTCGATTTGCCGGGGAGCCGGCATGGCGCCAACCGCATTCGTTTCCATCTCCGAGCAGGCGTACAAAATCTCGATGGGCTCGGAGACGCCGGCTGGTTGAAAGCGAGACAGATCCTGCAGGCATTCCGGCAGCTGGGCTGGAGACTTCGGCGGCGGGTCCATTCCCACCGCCCCCGCTTCAGTGCCGGACATCAGGGTGTCATCTTCGCCGATTGTGTCATCCGAGCGAATCTGGGGCAGTAGTGACTTCTTGGTGAGCTTCCTCTTTGGATCGTACCTGGCACCGGGTCCGAATTCGTTGCCCGGCCAGTCGGTCAGTTCGTCGTCGCCCTCGCGGTCGGTGTCGTGCCGGCGATGTCCCCCGACCTCCGCCTCGCTGTCCGAGGAGGAGCTTAGGGAGCTGGAGCTCAGGAAGTCGTAGAGCTCGCTGCAGTCCATGGACTGGGCCTGGGTCTGCAGCGGTGGCTGTGGAAGCGTGTGGAAGCGGCGCCGGCGGTGCGTCTTGGAGGAGCTGCTGCTGCTGTAGCCGGACACCTGAGCCTTCTTGCGCAGCATCGGAGCAGCTGGTGGCGTGCTCAGCAGCAAGGCATCGATGTCGGCCACAGGCACAATGGTGTCCATGCTGAAGGAGTTCAGGCTGGCGGACGCAGGCTCAGCGTTTGGCGGCGGTAGCTTCTTGGCCACGTCCCTTTGCTTGGGCAGCTGCTCCATCTCCGGCTGGTGGCCCTTCAATTCCATGTCCTTGTTGTCAGTCTTTTGGGTGGGCACGGCCTGCTGGCCCTGGGCAGCCATGCGGTTGATCTTCCAGAGCAATCCCTTGTTCAGCGGCAGCAGGCGATCGCTGAGTGGCTTCGAGGTGGAGGAGTAGCTCCGCGGGCGCATCCTCTGCTGGTGGTTGTGCTGCTGCAGATGCTGTTCCTCCGCCTGCGAGTGCGGTGGGGCGTACAGCTTGACCGACTCCTGCTCGTGGTAGCGATCGCGATTGGAGCGCTTGCGCTTGCCGCAGAAAAACAGATGCGACCGATGGCCAGTGGCGTCCATCTTCAGCAGACGCTTGCGAATGGTCCCGCTGGCAGTGCCGCTCAGCAGACCGGGCTGCAGCGGCGACTCGGTGAAGGTGTGCGGCGAGTCCTTGCTGAACTCGAACTCCATGGACATGCGCTTGATCTTGCGCTTCCTCCGCGAGTTGGGCTTGTAGAATCTGTGGGTGGGCCAGAAGGTCAAGGGGGTGCAACACTAAAAGGGCGGTGCGGAGCCCGTCCTACCTGGCTGGACTGAAGGTGGTCTCGTTCAGCGAGTCCGACTCCAAGGCGCCCATGCGTCCGGGCAAGGTCAGTGGGGCCTTCTCATCCGAGTCGCTGGCCGGCAACTTGAGGTTGTATGTGTCCAGCCCGTCCACGTTGGCATTGGCATTGGGGTGGGGCTGGGTGTGGTGGTGATGTCCATGTCCATGTCCTGGTCCGTGGTGGTGGCCATGGTGGTGCCCATGGGGACCCAGGGCGTTCAGTGTGTCCGTGGGACTGCTCGAGGAGTCCTCCGTGGGCTGGGGGGCGCAGGCTAAGCACAGAGGTGTTACCGGGATCGGGATCGGGGGAGTCGCTGGCGACTGCTACTTGCTACTTACGCAGATTGCCCGTGGAACGTGTCCTGCGACGTGAGCCCCACCTACCGACGCCACTCGCCCTGTCCATCAGCGAGGTCTCCTCGAGAGCCAACGTCAGGTCGTGCGAGAATTGATCCATGGCCGTCCGCTGTCCTCCGGTCCGCTCCTCTCCTCGGCTCAGGCGCGGCGCATTTATTAGCTATTTGCACGTGCACGAACAAGAAACAAATCTGCACCAAATCACTTGAATATGCACTTCGCGATATTAAATGCCGATTAGAATCGTTCCAAAAACCAGGTTGGCATCCCCGGCCGAAGTTATTAGCCGGGACGCAAACCGACCCACCATTAACAAAAATACTTTCCGCCAATGCACTGCTTAGGGGACATTTCCAGAATTCGCACTGCTTAGTGGGAAACATTTTAAATTAATCACGGCTTACTGAGCACTTCAAATATTGGTTGCTTTAAAAAAAAAAGATACGATTAGTTTTTAAATCTTTCTAATTTATTCTATATAATTTAATGCGATTCGCAACATATTATGGCCAGAAAAGTGAAAACGAAATGCTCACTATCTTTCTTTCTGGGGATATAAATATATTATGTACAAATTAAGGAAAGTTTAAAAATACAAATACAGAAAACAAATAAATGTTTTCTGGCATTAAATAGATCTCATCATAGTTCACCCATAGTTTTATTTTATATTCACATCAATTAAACTTAGGTTACCGACAACAACAACTCCATTATAGATCAAGAAAACTCAATGCTTATGTTTTATAAAACTATTTTTTTTTTAAATTTTGATATTTCCCGCCGATAAAATCGATTTTTCTCCACCATTGGTATTTTATTATAAACGTAGATACGTTAACAAACACTGTTCAAAATACCAAATCTGCTGGAAGCTGGTCACATTTTAGCCACTAGCGCGCGAGAAGACAAATCAGAACAAATTAAGACAAATCGGGACAAATCGGAAATTAGAAGCCCGCCACGATGGCGTCCATTGTGCTCTCCACCTTGCCGTTCGGACGGCTCGTGCGGAACAGGGACACCTGCGCCAGGCAGTCCACACAGTTCCACAGGAAGCGGAGGCAGTGCCAGAGCCGCATCAGGATGGGGTGCACCTGCTGCTCCTGGGCCAGCCGCAGTCGCAGCACCTGCTGGCTGAGCAGCCGTCGGCGTTGGACGCGTCGCAGCTTCAGCTCCAGAATGCGCCTGCGAAAGAGGTGGATTCAAAAAGTGTTTGAGACGCCCGCCAACAATGCATTACCTCCGCAGATGCGTGCAGGCGTTCTCAAAGTCGTTGATCCGCATCCTGGTCTGGATCAGCTCCTGGCTGAGGTCGAAGGCCCGGGCGCACAGCATCACACACCGCGACTCGAAGAGCTCCGATTTCTCCAGCGTCTAAGGTAGGATTGCCCTTACTGCAAACAGCAACTTAACAAAAGCTCACTAACCTGATCTTCCAGCTTGTGGTTCAGGTCCTCCAGCTCCTGGTTGCGCTCCTTGGCCTTCGCCAGTCTCTGGCCCATCCTAGCCGAGGCGATCATTTGGTGGAAGAGCTCCTGCCGCTTGCATCTCAGCTCGCACTGCGTCACCCGGAGTCGTTCCTCCCGGATCTCAAGCTGTCCGTTCAGTTGTCCCTGCTCCACGATCAGCAGCATCCGGTCAACGTCCAGCCGCAAATGACGAGTGCGCACCAAACTGGCTATCAAAGACACGCCGGCCATGCACTGGCCCAGTGAATCGTTCAGGTTGCGTCCCTCTTCCAAGCTGAGTACTCGACGACCCGGGATCTGCCCGCCGGAAAAGGGGTAAGTCAATATACTCCACCAAAACCATACCCACCATGTGCTGGTTCCTGCTTAGTTTTGAGGTGAACAATTTGAGGCTCTCGTTCAGCAGACGCCACGAGTGCAGGGATCGCTGGGGATTCCGACCTGGGGAGGCCATCGATAGGATGGGTGGTGCGCTTAACTTGGAATTTCGATTATCAACGCGAATGTTTCAGTTAGGTTGAGTAGGGAAGGGAGCAAGTGGGCAGTTGGAAACTAGTTTGAATGGAATCTGGCAATCCCAGTTCGTCTTTTAACAGGTGAAGCAAGGCTGATGCTAAATATAAAAATAAATATATCCGAAAAATCCAGTGCGTGCATAAATATTGCAATTACCAAAGACAATAAGTTTGAAATGATAAACCATTACGCTTTACAAACATCAAAGGAGTTTGTATTAAAACAAAAACAAAGGCAATCTTAAATAACGACATCGTTAAAACACTTTATTTAGCAAAAATAATTCAATATGACTCAAAAAAAATACATTGTGTGGCAAGGGAGAAAAAGCTTACATCTTTGATCTCTGGGGCCAAAAGCGGCATCCGCGGCAGGAACTCAAGGAAGTTCCCCCGAACTACAATTATCAATATACACAGATAAGTTCCTAAGTGCTTCTTTGCATACGAGTATATAATGAATACCCAACGATTGCATGACATAAATAACAACAAATCTTAGCGACAATACACAAATAGCTGATTATTTAGCGAACTTGGGGCAGCGGTTCGCCGAGCTTCTTGACCCAGTCCTCACGAGTAGCGGGATCGGTGACCTGGCCGCGTCCGAGGCATTTTCCCTGCGAGATGAGCTCCGCGAACTGGGCCACGATCGGATCCCGACCGCACGAGGCCACCGCCGTCACCGTGTCCGCCTCGTTGATGAAGTAGGCCACGAACTTGAAGTCGTCCAAGCTGCCGTCGATGATGACTTCCTTGTAGGAGCCGTGGCCCGCATACCGCAAGCCCTTGCCGAAGATCAGGGTGAAGAAGAAGGGCACGGCCTCCAGCTTCTTGGCCCCGCCGCACATGTTGATGGCCGCCACACGTCCGTGGTACTGGGCCAGCTGGTAGTGGCCGATGTTCACGCGATCGTGGGCCAGGCCGTGGATGTGGGCGTTGGCTATGTCGCCGCCCACGTACACATCGGGCACATTGGACTCCAGGAAGTCGGTGACGTCCACGGACCCGTTGCGGTTGACCTTAACGCCCGACTTGGCCAGGAACTGGGTGTTGAGCTTGGAGCCCGTGCCCAGGATGAGCAGGTCGCAGGGTAGACGTGTGCCATCCACCAGCTCCACCTCGGTCACCTTGCCCTCCTCGTTGCCAATGATGTCGGTGATGCCGCTCTGCATGCGCATGATCACCTTGTTATCCTCGAACAGCTGGAGCATCCTTTGGCCAATCTCGGGGCCGAAAGCGGCCTTCAGCGGGACATTTTCGCGAGCCACCACCGTGACGCTCTGCACCTTGGATACCAGGCCAGCGGCTGCCTCCAGGGCGATGAAGCTGGAGCCCAGACAGACGACGCGGGTCTCGGGAGTGATAAAGGCGTTTATGGCCTTGGTGTCCGCCAACTCGCGAACGGTGCGCACGTTCTCCAAGTCGACCCCGGGAATGGGCGGCCGGAAGGCGGAGCAGCCGGTGGCCAGGTAGATTTTATCGTACTTCACCACATAGCCGTTGCTGCAGTGCAGCTCCTTCTGGGCGGAGTCCAGCTTCTCGGCGGCCACTCCCTGCCACAGCTCGATGTCGTATTCCTTGTAGAAGTCCTCGTCGCGGAATCGCAGCTGCTCAATACCCAGGCTCATGGCCTTGGAGATCTTGACGCGGTCGTAGGGCAGATAGTCCTCGCGGCACACGAAGATGAGGCGCCCGGTGAAGCCCTCCTGGCGGATGGTTTCCACGGCCAAAGCGCCTGAAGGACCGCCGCCGACCACGATGAACACCCTCTGATCGTCGGGCTTGCGTTTGACCATGTTCTTGAGTCGCCTGTCCTTGGCCAGGTCGGATCGCTTGGCCCGGAGCATGACCTGTCCCTTGGTGCCCACCTCCACGCGATAGCAGGGAATGGAGTCCATGCCGGGGAAGTCCTCAATGTCGCCGGTCTCCAGATTGAAGCAGGCGCCGTGCCAGGGACAGCGGACTCGACCCAAGCCCAGGGCTCCAGTCTGGAGCGGAGCACCATAGTGGCTGCACTTGGCTCCTACGGCCAGCAGGCGATCGTTCTGCTTCACCAGCAGCACGCGGGTGTCCTCATCGAAGTCCACCTGCTTCATCTCGTTCTCCTTCAGATCCGCCACATTGCAGTCCACGCGGACGGCACTGGTGTACTCCGAGTCCGGCGAAGAGGCTTCCGTCGACATGGTTGTACTGGGACTCTGGGTGCTGCACTTGGACTGATACGAACCGACGGCACCACCTGGCGAGGCCATCATGCAAAGAGAGAAGCAAAGAGAAACGGCGATGAAGATACAGATAACGAGAATGTGTAGATGTGTGGGCACACGAAAATTTTCCTGTTTTTCATTAGGTTTAGGTTTAGGGTTCAAGGGAAAGTGGGGCGCCGCTTGCTGCGCAGGTAGAATCAAAGATTAGTCAAGAAAATGCCTCGCTCGCGTTCGGAAGTCTTTCTGGGCCTGCTAATGGTCCTGGTGCCAGTCCTGGCCCACTCCCATCTCAGCAATGTGCAGGAGCTGGAGCTCAGTTCGCTGCGCACCCACAAACAGCTTTTGCAGGCGGAGATCGCCCGTCTTTTTCTCGAGCAACCGCCTCGAGCGGAGAACCAACTCCTGCTGGACGACCTGCAGCTGCGAGATCACAAACTGGGTCAACAAATAGAGAGCCTGGAGGATATCGCCAAGGGCGCGACCACACAAAGGCTGGCCATAAATCTGACCGCTGACTTTGAGCACCTGCAGCACAAACTGGACGATTTGAAACGCCAACTTGAACTGCTGGATGGACGGTTTGCCTCCCAAGAAAAGCAGCTTGAGGGCCACGCATCCGAAATAGCTCCGTCGGCGCCCTCCGGATTGGGTTCCTTCCTCTGGGGACCCCTGCTCACCATGCCAGAGTTTCCGCAGGGCAGTGTGGCCGGTGACCAGCAACATAGCCACCACCAGGACCACCAGCAGGACCAGCAGCAGGGCTCCAGTCCCTCGATCATCAAACGAGTGCTGGACATGCTCAGGCCTTCCGTGGGAGTAGCAAGCCTACGGAGCCGTTGGGCTGAATCGGAGAAATCAGCTGGATCGGGTTTGGCCACGGCCAAGCCCGTCCACCCACTCAGCGCCGAGGAGCTCCTGCCACAGCTGCAGGAGCAGCGCAGGTTTCTGGACAATGCCATTACCCGACTAGAACTCCTGGCGGCCACGAAGGGCTCGAACAAGAATAGAATCAATTAGGCTTTAAATAGAAGTATAAGAATAATCGATACCTAAGGAAAGTTTTCATTCAAATCCGGCAGCAAGTACAAAGACAAATCTACCTGATTATAAATCGTCAAACTGAGGATCAAACTTAATCAATTTGTACTGACAAATAGAAGCTGTAGTATTTAAAAGATCACTCCAGTAAAGCCGCACCCATAAATTGTTGAGGTCGGATGATGAGTCGGCTGTTTTATAGTAATGACCGTACATAGTAGCTATTTAAAACAAGTTGGTTAATTTGAAACAAAACCCCTATTAAATGAAGTTAATGAGAAAAAAATAATAAAAGTCATCATTAAATTTCTTATTCTTTCTTAAAGTGTTAAACTACAAATACTAATACAATCTGTGTGTCTTAGAGACAAGCTCGAAACGATTGACTCATTTGACCTACAATGTCGCAACAACTTAAAATAACCAAATAAAAAGCCTTGCTACGTCATCAGATGATAGGGGAAACTATAAACCGTAAGCGTAACACCTGTTAACCTGTGTTCCACTCGGTGTTTGTCGGTTCTGATATGGCTGTTATGCCTACACGCCCCTATCTTAAGTGACTTGCTTTATGATGTATGCATATGATATCGCTGATAAAACTATGATTGAGCTTCAATGATGGGGCTTTTTCCTGACGAACAGGAAACTACTCGGGGCTCAAACATTTCACCTATCGTCATGATACGAGTGTGCTGAACTGCAAGAATAGCAAGTCATCTCATATTCACACACAGTGAGAACGAAAAGTATGCTTTCATGATGGGCAAAATTAATACTTTAATTTATAATATATTCCTTTAAATAACGAACTTATTTAAAAATACAACCATAAAAAGTAAACCTATTGAATATTTAATAAAATAAAAACTGACTGCTTCTGGGTTCAAGATGGTTTCAAAATTAATTACTACCAAAAATGGTTCTAATCGCCACACATTGTTATGCAGCCAGAATCAATACCTGTAATTGGCCAGTAAAAATACATTTTACCTTTTGTTTTTGTGAATATTCCCGTTGGTTTCAAATTACTGCGTTTTAATAACTGTTTGTCAGCGCATTTATTTAAAAAAGAACAGGTTTTAACATTTAATATATTTGGAAATCTAAACTTTATGATTTCTTTACTGCCAGCCTACTCTATTTTAAGAGTATTGCTCTTCATCCAGTATATGTTACTCATACGTCGGCCCTGCACTGTTTGTTTCTAACCTCTTTTAATTAGCTATGATTCGCCATATGAATACCACAGTTGGGTTTCTCACACACACTTGGACATAAATAAATAAAACCGGTTGGCCTCGTACAATTCAAGTGAGTCAAAAGCAAGACCAATAATAATAATAATTGCATGAGAACAAGTTTCACCAAAATAATTATACTCACGAATTTCAGGTATTACCGGCAAAGGATAAGGGAGTATTTGGACTAATTTTAAGAGCTCGAAGCTTGTGCACTGCCAGTTGACGGAGTAATGAACTGGAGACCGCCACCGGAGCCGTCAATTTAAGCGAACTGGCAGCTCTACAAAGAGCCCAAGAGAACGAAGAGCAAGGCAATAGGCTGAGGAAGAGGCATAGGCGAAACTGCGATAGCGGTGACTAACAACAGCTGCCCCTACAGTGAATATCGATTATCGGAAACACACGGAGAACAGTAGTTGAACCAGTGTAATGTGACCCACAGGTGAGCTACTTTAAAACTTCCTTCCAAATCTATAAATGACTTTTAATTACAAGGCCATTTAAAACTGAAATTATACAGTCCAGTAGACTACATATGTACATCATTTAGAATTTCATGTTCAAATATTTTTGTTATGTAAAATTGTTAAAATCGATTTTGCCAATTCGATTTGGTCAATTTGGTTCCGTGTTCCAGAATTCAGAAGAATACATATATACTATGTCTTACATACTAGAATTTAATACCTGAAATGGACTATGTTAGACTTGTTTAACTTGAGACTTAGTTTAGTAGTTACTTTTCAACAGACCTGGACAATAATTACAGATGAATATTGTTACTCAGTCTTCAGCAGTCTTTACATCGCAATAAGTATTAACTGGTAACTGCTGTGGCAATGACGCAGCAGTAAAGCAATCACGTTTCGCGCTCCCGCTGTCCGCGCCTATTTCTCTTTTTCTTTCTAAATCTTGGACTTATGCCGCTGAGACAATTATCTCAGCACCCCTCCCCAACAACACCCCTCTAAAAGCGGGTCATTCCCATTCTCTTAACCACAATTCCCAACCACTTGGCCTCATTTGATTTGTAAAAGGAACACAGCAATGTTGAATATCGGATCATCTACGACATGACCACATTTTTCAAATTACGGCCAGAGGGACATGGGATTCAGATAAGACTACTGTGGAACTACTAAACGCATGTAGAATTAATCTTTTCCAAATTACCAAAAAGTGGTAATATTCAAATTCAAGGACATCTGTAAACCAAACTTGGGTACAATCAGACTATCAATTTGAAGCATTTTGGAAACGGGTTTTATCTTACTATAGAAAAATTAAGTTTAGTAGCAAACATTTTTAACATTTCTAGGAAAAAATAACTGCAGACCGCAGATTATAGAAATAGTTTAGTTCACATAAAAACAAAAACAATTTCACAACGAAAACATGTATATTTCTGCAACTCGAAATTGAACGTCTTAAAAGTTAACCCCTGTTAGCAAAAATTTAATTACCTGTAGATTTTTCTTTCTTGGGGGTACTTCCCGTGGTGTTGTACTCCTTGCAGTTGATGGAACCCATTGTGTGTAGGCGGCGGTTGTGCAAATAATTCAAATATGACTGTGCGTTGAGTCCTCTGCAAGTTTGTCTGTTTAAAATCCGTTTCGGAATTTTTAAATTTATTTTTAAATTTATTTTTTAGATGCAGGACAACCACACAACGTTTACCTGGGCTGAAGCTTGAATATCCTTTGGATGTTTCTGATACTACTTTGCGTGTAGGCGAAGTTTAGAGCTGCTCGATAGGGTTGCCACCTGAAAGTTTAAAAGTTTGTTTTTCCACTTATTAACAATTAATCAACGCACTAATACCCGCCATCAGTTAGTTATTTTCACAAGCGTTAATCAGTTTTTTTGTATTAATTTTTCAACTGGCTGACTCATCCGTCAGTGGATATTTCTGAACGAATTCCTCAAATTTTTTGAGATGCTGTTTTTGCAGAATACGCACATTGTTTATCTGCGAATTCCCCGTTGCACTCACCACTCTCACTGCTGGAATAACAATAACAAAAACAAAACAACTGGAATCGCGTGGAACGAGAGAGCGTGCAACAGGTCTGTTGGGATAAATGGACCAAATGCGGGGGCGACGGAGCAAGGAAGAGAGCAAGAGCGAGAGCAAGCACGTCTGACGCGCGTGAACTGCCAACCGCGTATGGCGCGCAACTTCGTCGCTGGACTCGACTGGAACTGGAAGCTTTGTGCCTTCCTATCAGGTGTGCGCACAGGGGCGGTCAAGATAGTAGGACCGATTAGTGCGCTCTGTTATCTTAACGCCCAGATTCCAATACTTATTTATAGTTGTCTGTCATACTACTTATTCAAATCCACTCTAAAGTGGGCTGATAATCAAATCTTACAACTAGAAGTATTGTTAGTTCATAAAAAAAAAGGTTCAATGTTTAAGATAGCTTAGGCCACTGCAAAGATAGTCGGATTGGATTTTAACAGTGCATTGCCATTCAGTTCAATACAATTTGAGACAGCATTCCAGATCACTAGAATTATAGTTCCGACCGCAGTTGTATGCCTCTCCGAGCATTCGAGTGTGTGCTCCACTCCCCAAGACAAACGTCTGTGCGTTTTACTAACAAAAACGTCTCGACCTTGCCGTCGCCGCACTTCACAGCCAAGCAATCTCTTCCACCTCCTTTACACCAACTACCACACCCCTTGCCGGCATTAATTTGGAATGGCCAGCAACAAGAAGTAATATTGAAAGTAAGACATGGCTCGGCCTTCGTCACGTTACAGACCAATGCACTCGGCGACCCATCCACCTGTTGCCAGTGTCCACTGTGCCACAGTTAATGCCGGCAAAGTTGAATCAGCAACGGCGGATCTAGAACACAAAGAAAAACAGCGTTTTGATTGTGGTTTCCATAACTCCCCGAGTGGAAAAACCGCGCTGAGTAACCCTTCTCGTTAATTTTGTGTCAACTTGTTTATAATTAATTGGAAAATGCCAGTTCTTTTAGCACGTTGCAGTACTTGTTGTTAAATGCTGATATTTTGTTATCTGCAAAGTACATGGTGTATCTTGGATATGTTTAGTACTTGTTTATTGAACTTTTTTTATTTTTTTGCACACGTAGCATATGAAAGCTATATGTTTACCATAAAAGTTAATTTGATCTGGGTATCAAAACTGTTATCTAAATTCTTTGGGAAGTGCCTCCGGTATTTTGAGTTCAAATCCCTTCTTACATATGTCAGGTACATTATCTGCATCACTGTCTTCAGTCCCATTTCGTCAATGCCCGTCTATGGTTAATGACACTTGCCAGTTTCGGTTCCAACCTAGTTCTATCAGACCCTGTTAATATTTTAAAAAAAAAGACCTTCTAAACTATTTAAAAGTAATGAAAGATTATCCCATTAGGGTTTTGTAGTAGTATACAAATAAAAAACAAGCCATTTTTATACAATTTGGAAAGGGGTTACATTGGTTAAAGAGATGAAAAATCGACCCAAAAACAAAAAAAAAACTGAAAACACAGTTTTTTAGATAATGAAACCACAATCATTTTAAAGTATGCCACTTTGAAATCGAATGTCCGTAACAAAAGTTATGGGCTTACTTTTCTTTGGACACTTTTCTGCAGACCCATTTTTGTAAAATTTGGAAAGGGGTTACATCATTTAAAATTACGAAAAATCGACCCAAAAAAAAGTAAACTAAAAACGCAGATTTTTAGGGAATTAAACCACGATCATTTTGAGGTATGCCACTTTGAAATAGGATGTCTATAAATTTTAGAAAAATGGGCTTGCAGAAAACTGACCTAAAACCTGCACTTCTTAGCCCATAACTTTTCTTATAGACATCCTATTTCAAAGTGGCATACTTCAAAATGATCGTGGTTTCATTCTCTAAAAAACTGTGTTTCCAGTTTTTATACCCTTGCAGAGGGTATTATAATTTTGGTCAAAAGTGTGCAACGCAGTGAAGGAGACATCTCCGACCCTATAAAGTATATATATTCTTGGTCAGGATCACCTCCTGAGTTGATATAGCCATGTCCGTCTGTCCGTCTGTCTGTTTATACGCGAACTAGTTTTAAAGCTATCGAATTGAAATTTTGCACGCAGTATATATGACGGAACGGCCGGGATCGGCCGACTATAACCTATAGCTGCCATATAACTGATTGATCGGAAATGCCATAATTTTGGTGTTTGTAAAGTTAGGAAGTTGGGATTTTCTATGCGTTTTATTTTTTGCCAATCAATCCGACCTATCAAATTTCATAAGGATCGGCCGACTATATCCTATAGCTGCCATATAACTGAACGATTGGAAATGCCATAACTTTGGAGTTTTTAAAGTTAGGAAGTTGGATTTTTTATGAGTATTAAGAATGCATCATATGAATAATTTTGGAGAATATAATTTACAGAGTATTCTGCAAGGGTATACCAACTTCGGCTCCGCCCGAAGTTACCTTTGCTTTCTTGTTTTTTTGTTTTTTTGTCGATTTTTCAGCAATTTTTGTAAGCAATAATTTTTCTAAAATTTGGAAAGGCGTTACCAAATTTTAGAAAAATGGGCTTGCAGAAAAGTGACCTGAAACCTGCACTTCTAAGCCCATAACTTTTCTTATAGACATCCGATTTCAAAGTGGCATACTTCAAAATAATCGTGGTTTGATTCTCTAAAAATCTGTGTTTCCAGTTTTTATACCCTTGCAGAGGGTATTATAATTTTGGTCAAAAGTGTGCAACGCAGTGAAGGAGACATCTCCGACCCTATAAAGTATATATATTCTTGATCAGGATCACCTCCTGAGTTGATATAGCCATGTCCGTCTGTCCGTCTGTCCGTCTGTCCGTCTGTCCGTCTGTCCGTCTGTCCGTCTGTCTGTCCGTCTGTCTGTTTCTACGCGAACTAGTCTCTCAGTTTTAAAGATATCGAATTGAAACTTTGCACACACCCTTCTTTCCTTTGCACGCAGTATATAAGTCGGAACGGCCGGGATCGGCCGACTATATCCTATAGCTGCCATATAACTGATTGATCGGAAATGCCATAACTCTGCTGTTTGTTAAGTTAGGAAGTTGGAATTTTATATGGGTTTTATATTTGGCCAATCAATCCGACCTACCAAATTTCATAAAGATCGGCCGACTATATCCTATAGCTGCCATATAACTGATTGATCGGAAATGCCATAACTTTGGTGTTTGTGAAGTTAGGAAGTTGGGATTTTCTATGGGTGTTATATTTGGCCTATCAATCCGAACTACCAAATTTCATAAGGATCGGCCGACTATATCCTATAGCCACCATATAACTGATTGATCGGAAATGCCACAACTTTGGTTTTTGTTAAGTTAGGAAGTTGGGATTTTCTATGGGTTCTATTTTTAACCAATCAATCCAACCTATCAAATTTCATAAGGATCGGCCGACTATATCCTATAGCTGCCATATAACTGAACGATTGGAAATGCCATAACTTTGGTGTTTTTAAAGTTAGGAAGTTGGGATTTTTTATGAGTATTAAGATTGCATCATATGAATAATTTTGGAGAATATAATTTACAGAATATTCTGCAAGGGTATATCAACTTCGGCTCCGCCCGAAGTTAGCTTTTCTTTCTTGTTTTTTTTGTTTTTGGGTCGATTTTTCATTATTTTAAGCAATGTAACCCCTTTCCAAATTTTAGAAAAATGGGCTTGCAGAAAAGTGACCTAAAACCTGCACTTCTTAGCCCATAACTTTTGTTACGGACATCCGTTTTCAAAGTGGCATTCTTTAAAATGATTGTGGTTTCATTCTCTAAAAACTGTGTTTCCAGTTTTTTTTTGTTTTTGGGTCGATTTTTCATCATTTTAAGCAATGTAACCCCTTTCCAAATTTTAGAAAAATGGGCTTGCAGAAAACTGACCTAAAACCTGCACTTCTTAGCCCATAACTTTTCTTATAGACATCCGATTTTAAAGTGGCATACTTTAAAATGATTGCGGTTTTATTCTCTAAAAACTGTGTTTCCGGTTTTTTTTTTTTTTTGGGTCGATTTTTCATCATTTTAAGCAATATAACCCCTTTCCAAATTTTAGAAAAATGGGTCTGCAGAAAGGTGTCCAAAACCTGCACTTCTTAGCACATAACTTTTGTTACGGACATCCGTTTTCAAAGTTGCGTTCTTTAAAATGATTGTGGTTTCATTCTCTAAAAAACTGTGTTTCCAGTTTTTTTTTTTTGTTTTTGGGTCGATTTTTCATCATTTTAAGCAATGTAACCCCTTTCCAAATTTTAGAAAAATGGGCTTGCAGAAAAGTGATCAAAAACCTGCACTTCTAAGCCCATAACTTTTGTTACGGACATCAGATTTCAAAGTGGCATACTTTAAAATGATTGTGGATTCATTCTCTAAAAAAAATGGTTTTTCCAGTTTTTTTTGGTTTTGGGTCGATTTTTCATCATTTTAAGCAATGTAACCCCTTTCCAAATTTTAGAAAAATGGGCTTGCAGAAAACTGACCTAAAACCTGCACTTCTCAGCCCATAACTTTTCTTACAGACATCCGATTTCAAAGTGGCATACTTTAAAATGATTGTGGTTTAATTCTCTAAAAAACTGTGTTTACAGTTTTTTTTTTTTTTTGGGTCGATTTTTCATCATTTTAAGCAAATTTTAGAAAAATTGGCTTGCAGGAAAGTGACCTAAAACCTGCACTTCTTAGCGCATAACTTTTCTTATAGACATCCTATTTCAAAGTGGCATACTTCAAAATGATCGTGGTTTCATTCTCTAAAAAACTGTGTTTCCAGTTTTTATACCCTTGCAGAGGGTATTATAATTTTGGTCAAAAGTGTGCAACGCAGTGAAGGAGACATCTCCGACCCTATAAAGTATATATATTCTTGGTCAGGATCACCTCCTGAGTTGATATAGCCATGTCCGTCTGTCCGTCTGTCTGTTTATACGCGAACTAGTTTTAAAGCTATCGAATTGAAATTTTGCACGCAGTATATATGACGGAACGGCCGGGATCGGCCGACTATAACCTATAGCTGCCATATAACTGATTGATCGGAAATGCCATAATTTTGGTGTTTGTAAAGTTAGGAAGTTGGGATTTTCTATGCGTTTTATTTTTTGCCAATCAATCCGACCTATCAAATTTCATAAGGATCGGCCGACTATATCCTATAG